TATTTCATATTTTATAATTCTAACAAGAATAGTTATAACTTTGGACGCAACAGTTCGAAATCTTTGAATGATTTGATAAGAAGATTAAAATATGAATATTATAATTCCCAAAATTCATAAAATAAAAAAATGAAGAATGGTTTCGGACAATTTTTCAACTAAGGAGAGACAGTCATAACGATACACCGTGTATGTGCAAAGAAAGTTGTAAAATATCAGTTTCAAATGAATTTGTTGTGATAACGATAATTGGCCGACAACGATAAATAACTAAAAACCCGAGTAAAAGGCGAACAAGTCAAAGGTACGTCTAATTTAAAAATATTTTTCATATTAAATATTTCACATCACACGAGTAATTTTTAAAAATACAGTTCACGTAGAAACGTAGTTGGCTACTAGGCATGGTTAATAATAAAATGTCTGAAGCACAAAATGTATGATAAATTCATATAATGACATTTGCATTTAAAAAATCATTAAATCTACATCGAGCATCACACTAAAAAGAAAAAGAAAAACACATATACTCCATATTAGAAAGATTTATAATAGAAAAATCAAAATCTTATTGACCAGCCGTCAAGAATAATTAGAATAGTCCTATGACTTTGTTATACAACTTTAAGCGTAGAAAACGTATAATAAAAATTGCTAACAATTTTTCAATCCGTAAATTATTTTAGAAGAAACTGTAACGAAGCCACTATGGGTACCTCGTTTAAAAAATTTTTTATAAATCTGTGATAAAGAAAATAGTTAGTCATTAGAAAAGTGTACATTAAATACATAATATTTTAAAGAAATGACACTTTATATGCACTAATATAATATATATTTATAAGAAAGATACGGTAGAACGTGATCGTCACCGATCAGACATCAATGCGTCACAGCTTCAACTTGAAAAAACAAAAGCAGTCAAAGGATATTTCTTGACTTATATAACTCTTTGAACGGCCACATATTATCAATAAAATAACGTAGCCTAAGCTATATTATCGTATGGCATTGGGAAGAGACCTTGAAACGCTACGTAAGACATGAAATTCAATTCCAACGTAATCCCGACGAAGAAGTCGGAAAATGACCTGGCCTCGATCCAATCTACTCGTTCCAAAAACCATTTTATCCTCAAAAACGGTTCGATCCTCGTAGCAAAAGATCAATCGAAAAACGTTCCGCGCCGATGACTGCCTAATTAATTTCACAGCGCCAACGAGCACGACGCTTCCGTCGCTGCTAATTCAATGAAGCGAGTTTTTCGTTCCAGACCGTCGATTTCGCGCCTGTCAAGCTCCACGCCGTGCAAAAATGTGTGTATACGACACGCGTATACAGGGTGACATCGAAATAAATAAGCTTTGATATATAATGGCTCACGAAAGTAGTTGAATACTTACTCGTCAATTAAATGATTAATCGGCGATACCAATTGGTATTATAACTTTATAACGTTAAATCTGTATATTGTAGTAAAAATATCAAGATCATACTATATAAGATTTTTTTAAAACCCGCTTTCCAAGCTGTAGTACATGCAATTTTTAAAAATATACCGCGAAGAAAGAAATAATTTTAAATTAAATCTGCTTAGTTTTCAGTGAGATCTTGAGCTCCTTATCTTTCTATATCGTCTTTCGTCTCTTGAAACACGTAAACTTGAACGCTTGGCCAGTTTTATGATCTCACTACATCTTTTCCACCGACAGTATCTGCTTGAGACGATGCTACAGCGCTCAGTGTTTGGTATAAAACAATATCTCCATTCTTAAGAAAAATAGAATAGCATAGTAAATATTGTTTATTTATTTTCATGTCACCGTGTATAATAGAGGCAAGCTCTCGCGGCTCCCACGAGGACGCTCGATCGGTCCGCTCAAAAGTTGCTCCACATTCGGTGACCTTTTGCAGGGACGTCGATAGAAAATGTCAGAGTGGTCGTTTACGAACTTGGGACCGCGGAATCTTCCTATCGCAAAAATGCAATTTCGACGATCGACGATCGCTTAATCCGCGAACAGAAGGAATTACCGGGGAGAGGTAACTCGCGGCCATTGAATTCGCGAGCTGCCGACGATTTTCATCCCCTCGGCGCAGCGTCGCGCAACCAACCACAGGAAAAGCTATTCATCTCGGTGGAAACGAGACGCTAATAAAGCATCATCGGGAAAAGAAATAAAGAACCTGGTCGGACAAATGGAAGAAGGGGAAGATATCAAGGCTCGATAATGGATTCCTCTGGTCGTCCAACCGTTCCCCGATATTTCCGTGATATTCATTTCGCCATATTGTTACGAGTGGTCGTGTGCTTGGTTCGTTCGCCGCTGTGACGCTCGTTCGTTCGCCGCTGTGACGCTCGTTCGTTTCACTCCGGCCTCTCGTAAGAACTTCCCATTTCTTAATGAGGAAACAGCCGACGCGCGGATGGGTCAAAAGAAAACACAAGAGTTACATTGAAACGGTAACTTAACCGTGGAAGAAGAAGAAGCGTGGAGAAAAGTCGGGATCCGTGAATTGTGTTCCAGACAAACGAGAAAGAGGAAATGTCTTGTACACGCACGCTTCACTCGTTCTTCTTTCACTAGATTCCAAAAAAAAAACCGGGCTAATGGGAAATTTTACTTCCTCGAGAGCCTATGAAATGTTCTCAATATAATGCGAATTTTGTAAAATATCTCGTCTTCTGAGTAAGTCGCGAGATGAGCATTGGGGATGAAAATTGATGGAAAGTTTCAAGCACTGATAAGATAAAATATAGAGTTGGTAAAAATATAACGTCGACCTTGTAGATGGAAATATAGGTCTTTTTTATTCGATCAATTATATCATTCTCTTTATGATAAAAGCTCCTTATGAAAATTGCCACGTGTATTCACACGTCATTTGTATTAAACTCAAACTTCTATTTTAATTCTTCGACTTGGAAATTAGTAACAACTTAACATTTCATTATTCCACACGACCTTTCAGCAATGAACGATTAAAACTCGCTTATACATATATATATACCTGTACAATAATACCCAGTATTAAAGAAGTCATAAGGGATTAAAAGAACGGTCGTTGAAATATATTCGATAGTTGCTTTAAATTAGTAGGTTTCGTGCAATGTCCAACTATCAAGTCATATACTTTAGGCTACATCTCGATTCGATTCAACTTGTGATCCAGTTATAAATTCAACGATAGCTAAGCCCTTAAATCATTCTCAACACGTTAAGCACCACCTTGGCTTTTCGTGAGTCTTGTAACTAAAGATTTCGATCAAATAAACCTTATTTCGTATGCACTAGCGAGACATTTGCATTGCAAATGTAGTTTATAACTTAACAATCATCCTTCATCGAATCAAAAACAAAAGCCTAAGATATCTCATGTCAGGAACACTAACAAGTAAGTACATAGGGATTAGTACGTAAAATGTCTAAGAATCTCATCCAACCTGTAGCCTATTCTCAATTATCGCATCACCTGATAACGAGACAACGATCACGGTATATGCCGTCACGCAATATCATCGATGATTTAATCTTATCTCGTCTCGGTTAAAGCCGTCGCGCAAGAATATGTTAAATAACTTACTATGAACGCGCTGAAGAACCCGGAAATATTGTGGACAGAACATTGTCTTATGACCGAGCTGACCGCATGCCGGAATCACGAGATCGATTACTCTTGCGAAACATGGTCGGAATGGTATCGACAGTTTCCGTAACCTTGCGAAATTATTGAACGAGTGTCGTCATAAGTTGAAGGCACGTTACGTGGAGAACGACCTCAGGCACGATCATTCCCTCTTGGCCTGGCATATTTTCTCGTCGCGTAAATCAGAGGGGCACGTTGCATTGGGAATTAAATCAACGTGCTTCGCTTCGTTGATGGAGATGAAGCAAAACGAGATGGATGGTAGGAGAAGGATAGAACGAGCGACTGGACGATGAGAGAAAAAGAAAGAAAAAGCTGGAATAGATGGAGTAAAGCAAGAGGAACAGGAGGAAGAGTAACCATGGTGGGGGATCAATTTAGAAGCCGTGACTCACTCGACACGGTGACGTCGTTAGCGCACCCCTTCCGTTCTCACCCTCTACGCTACCCCTAAAAAAAAAAAGAAAAAAAGGAATAATCCGGTCACAACTCTCTCTCTCTAAGCGAGAACTAATCGAGGCCAGTGCACACTACCAGAGAAGAACGAAACGAGAGGGGGGTGTTCTCGACTCCCTCGGCTGGTCGACGAGTCTCGAGTATTATTTCTGGTATTCGTGTATACCGCTGTTATCCGACGAGACGAGGGCCACGGAGGTGGCACGCGGAAAGTGAAGCGGAAAGGGCACCACAGAGTCATCGTTGTACACGATAACACCACCGGTCCCTCGTTACGTCGAAAAAATCTCGACGAAGAGAACCGGTGTGTGAAGTCGAGTTTTACCTACGCCCATGTACTTCACGCGTCAGTGATTCCTGTTTACAGAACCGGCTGAGGGGGTGGGCGGGAAATGAAGAACGCGAAAACGCGAGCGAAGAGAAACAAGGAAAATTGCAAGGGAAAATGGGAGAGGGTGTAAACGAGGAAGAGGATGCAAAAGGGGAAGTATCCAACGCATCCTCTCGCACCCCCGCGCCCACCAGAGCCAGCGTCCCCTCGCCCCAATTACCGTGCCCATCGCTCGCACCACCTCGTCCACGCTCGTAATTTGCATCCGACCTCTATTTCCTTCATAGCCGTCAAACTAAATGCCTCTTCCGAAATCGTCGAGGGAAACTAAGGATCCGGACACTCGGCAATCTTGCACGCCTATAGTAACGTGGGGGATGATGACGAAATTGTTAGAACTAGAATTTACTTAACGTTCCAGAGTATCAACGTACAGTTAACGTTGTACAGAGAAAAAGAGAGAGATAGAGAAAGAGAGTAGCAGACGAAATAATGATCGAAGGAAGAAATTACATATATGCTGGACTGGAATGTATGTCCTGGGAAGGAGATTGTTGATACTCACGAGGCACACGATCAACGAGGATCAGGCTCTCGGTTAGGAGACGTCGACTCCTGGATCGTCGACCGACGAGCATCCTATACTCCGATTCCCCTGTTCCACGAGTCCTGGCGTCGAGGACCTAGATGATCCTCCCGTTGTCACTCCCGGCAACACCCACTTTCTCCTCTGGCCTCGTAACCTCGAGGGCCACTTTTCCTTCTCTCCCTTGCCACCGTCACCGAACGAGGCGCAGCACTATTCTGACAGCACCACCACTACTACCACCACCACCACGATATGAGTCTCGACTACCAACGGGCACCACCACGATAGAAAGCCACCACCACCGCCACGACCACTACTACCACTGCCACTCGCCACCACGAGTAGCACAGGCACAGCAGCTCGTCGTACCGCCTTGATACTGGCGATCAGTTCGCAAACCAGTTACACGGCATTTACCCTCTTTTCCTGTTCAAAGTTATCCGCGATTGATTCTCGTGAATAATCATCGAACCACCCTTTTTAAACGCGGCGCGATCGTGCTGTTGTCAAATGTCGTTAGTCACTATTCGCGTTGACACGACGCGTGACCATCGACGAGGAACCCTCTGAACACGAGTCACGCGCGGCAACCTACGAGCATAAGATGATTCCGTAGCTCGCTGCGGAAACTCCACCGTGTGAGCTGGCCTATCTACGCGCCTGTTTGCTCTCCCAAGCCTCTACCCCTTCACGTCCCCTCTGCGCCGCCTTCTGGCCAGTCACGACAGAAATGTATGCGCGTTCCTGACACACGCGTGTCCGTAACACGTCCCAGCATGCGCTCCTCTACGCGCGCCTCGTATGGCACGCGCCCGAAATCAGCCGAATTCGTTCGACTGCAGCCGGTGTCGCTATTATCCCCATGACTTCTAGGGAGTTTATGTTTGAAAAGGTCTATCCAAGCAAGCGGAGGTACTCCGTCGTTGGCGCTGTAGATATTTTTCGATTTCAAAATTCAAGAAGGAAAAATTAGCGATTGAAGGTAATTAATTTTATGGAGGAAAGAACGATAATGAAAAATTTGTTACCGAAATGTTTTCGTTTCATTATTTATTTTATTATGGAGTACATTATGTAATTAGTTAATATTATAAATTATATTCATAATTTTACTATCTACTGGTTATCATGATTCTCTTACACAATGATTTACCAACTAATAGTATTAGTGAATTGACATGTTGTAAGTTATAGGTTAGCATTAGTAATTTGTAACTCGTGACTTGTAAAATTTCACTATTTATATTAGTTCAATTGTGCAAAAAGACCCTGTTTCCTCCTATTTTCATTCTATTATTGACATTTATAGAACGTATAATATACGTATACAAATATGTATGATATTTGTTCTAAATTTGGTATCAAGAATCCTATGCAAAGTCAGTTTGCATACGCCCTAGGGATTTTTATTCAGTGTATGATACTAACCTGTGAGTAACGTGTAAATGCGTTTGTTTCATTTTTTATTTCCAAAATTCGTCTTTGCTGAAAGTTTGCGATGGTCATAAAAGCTACAACATTGTGTGCCCGTATCGCATCTATTAAAATCATAAGTGAATTTTGTATGAATAAATCGGAAATATTGTTGCTCTATGAATTTTGCGGTGGCTTTAATTGAACTCTGTTGATAATGCAGTTATAAACTGCGATTATCTTTTGATTACTGCTCATTGTTAAAGAATGACTACACGATGTGTCCTTCACGACGCGATTTTGCGTTCAAGGTTAGATCTCACTACTGGCTTTTTTCAAAAGATCGTAACCGCCGCGAATAAATACAGTCAGCATACAGAATAGTGTCATGGCGCGGCAACAATGACGGAAAGTGTATTCCTCACCGACGAATTCGGTACCAAATTTAATATGTGGGGCCGCTTTCGTTATAAAGGCTTGTTAATACTATTCCTGATTAATGTGATTGCGTTTCAATGTTTTATATGTAAGTATTTCTTTATTATTGTACGTAGAGTTGTGCATACACCTCCATCTTCTACAACAAATAAACTGTTATGAATGTAAAAACGCATGACACATAAATTTGATATGTTATCACAGTTTCTACGCATGTTGCCCGCGATATTCGAGGAAATTCCATATAGAACGTAGAGTACCTTATAACTTGTATTTCATTATTATTATATGTCATATATTTGCATTTTATCGATAATATACAAGAATGTATATATTATAGGATGTAATATATTAGTCATTCTTCTCTTCTCTAATTATTTTTCATCATTAAATAAACAGATCCCGTCTAAATATTAAAAACTGCGATTAATCTTTATTAATTTGCATTCGAATTATAAGTTATTTTCTTGTAATGATGTGTATCAATATTTTTGTCAAAAGATTATCAAGAGAGCTATAAATGGCGGGAGTTAAGGAATAAGTTGGAATCATTAATGATCGAGCAACGAGACCTGTATGGATTAACGTATAGTGTAATTAAGAGGCTGGAAGGGCATGGCGTGTTAAGCGTAAAGAAACAGGATCCTGCTGAGAAGCCTATGATTTATGCCATTACCCCTACGTTTGCCAGGCCTGTGCAAAAGGCAGAGCTGACCCGGTTGTTGCAAACGTTTCTTCATATACCCAACTTCCACTGGATTGTCGTCGAAGACGCGGGTAAAAAGACCAAACTCGTTTCGCAACTTTTAGAAGATAGTGGTTTACTTTTTACCCATTTGGCTGCGGCAACCCCGCCGAATTATAAGTTAGGGCGAAATGACCCGAATTGGAAGAAGCCACGTGGCGTCGAACAACGAAATGCAGCTTTACAGTGGCTTCGGGAAAATCGCAGGCCGACCGACAAAGGCATAGTATTTTTTGCTGACGACGACAATACGTATTCGATTAAATTATTTCACGAGGTAAGAACATTAACGATAGCAATCGGTCCAGTCACGAAATCGTTACATAACTTATGTGTGTTCCAGATGGAGAAGATACAGAAGGTCGGTGTGTGGCCTGTTGGTCTAGTCGGTGGTTTGATGGTGGAGAAACCAATATGTGATAACGCTACTAATAAAGTAATCGGTTTTAATGCTGCGTGGAAGCCAGAGCGACCATTTCCATTAGATATGGCGGGTTTTGCCATCAACTTACGACTTTTATTGGAAAATAAAAATGCCGCTTTTTCGTACGACGTTCAGGGTGGTTATCAGGAGAGTGAGATATTGTCAGAAATTGTCAGTAGAGATGAACTAGAACCGTTAGCAGATTGTTGCACAAAGGTATTTATTGATTGTTTTCTTTTTATATATTTCATGGTATAAATCAAATAATTATTTATGTCTACAGGTGTACGTATGGCACACACGAACAGAGCCACCACAGTTAAACGTGGAACAACTATTGATAAAGAAAGGTAAACGTTCAAATGTAGATATTGAAGTGTGATAAGAAAATTAGAAAATTATTTTGATATAGCGATATTAAGTTTGATAGTAAAAGATATTCCTATTATGATATTAAGTTTTTGAATCCCGAAAGAAAAATTAGTTTTATATACGCATTTTATCATTCGCATTTGACCATATACTTTTTAAATTGAGGAACAATGCAGTGCCATATAACAGACAGCCGCTTATAGCTGCATATTCAGTAAGGATGTAGAATGTACATATGACACTATTGCATTTTATATATCCTACATTCTACATAGAATATGCTTATCGATAGTATGCATGATAACATAATGGCCTGGGTTACATACTATTGTTAAGCATCGCTTTATTTTACGAATCGATAATTTTTTATATTGTTGAAGAAATGGTATATAGATGAATAAAATTTTTCGTGTAAAAAAAAATGAAATGCTAATGTAGACGTGAATCATTTGACCTTGAAAATGTTCTTTATCCTTTATTAGTCGAGTACGTTTCCTTGACGCGTACAGAAAAAGCATACATAAAAAATATGCCTTAACCTACGAATTTTAATAATGTTTCGTAATAATATTCTTTAAAATGGAAGATGCGCAGTAATACTTTTTGTGGGAAGCTACTTGGGTTACGGATTTTGGCAACGAATATAAAATAGCTAGATAAACGTGTCTTTTCCTCCTCATCGAATCATCGATTCTTGACTCGATGAAGGCTCGAAAATACTGCGTGACAATTACAATGAACAATCCACTATTTTTTTTCCCCTTCTTTTTTCCGATGTAATATATATTCCTTGTGTACCTATAATGTGTACTCGTTGACTTATAAGCTAATAAGTACTATATATTTGGCAAAACTCTGTTTACGGTACGTAAAAAAGCTACCCTGCAGAAAGTGTGTTCGCAGGTAAGGGAACGATGACCTTTTAATTTCTTTTTCTTTAGGTAGAGGTACAATTATCTTAAATAAATATACACACATCGATTATTTTTTTCAGTTTACTTTTTCTTCTTTTTTTTTGCGAACACACCTTCCAACTTCACATACAACATTCTAAACTTAGCGAACCCTCCTAAACTTATTTCCAATATTTTCTTAAAGATTAGGAAAAACGTTTACAAGCATTTACAAAAACTTATCACATTTTAACTGCGTTTTCTTGAAAAGCCATCTTACACATTAGGAAAAAATCGGCATTATTTTAATATTATCGAATATAATAATATATAATGTATATGGCAGCTTTCGATTGTTCTTTTTTCTGAAACAAAAAGATTCGAATCCCTGTTACAAATGTCAAGTATTAATTTAGTGCTCAAAAGGAGAAAAGTTTACTTAGCCGAATCGAAGATATCGCTGCTTCGATTACACTATACATACACAGTAGAGAGACTTAATTGTCGAAAGATACATTTGGGACTTATTAAAATGCCATCGCGGTCGACATATCGAACACGACTTCTTTCGGTAACATTTCTTTTAATTTTCGTATTTTACAGCTTTTTAAGTATACTGTTCTCTAACTGTATCAATAATCCGATCGTGATGATACATAATCTTATCGATTACAATTTCATCGCGGAAGCTAACCAGTTCTCGGTTAGATTACTTTCTTACATACAGGGTAACTACATAGGATACATAAAATACTAATAACGAAAAAAAGGATGTAAAAATGACAGAGACACTAAGGCTGCTCTTGCACGCGATGCCTCGACGATATAATCTTTACATTGTGAGATATAAATGACAAAAACTATCACGATAAATTAGGACGCGAATAAAGGAAACAATATTTCACGCAAATGATGTTCACTTTGAAGTAAAAAACATAACTACGTATTAATTAACCGAATAAACGTACGGCTCCTAACTAATACATCAGTCATGTTGGTTGTCACGGCAAGAATACATATAATCATACTCAAAAGTCGAGCGGCAGAAATATTTTTGTAAAAGTTTGTTCATGGCTAGAGGAAACACGTGGCGGTAAATCTTGTCAAAAGATACGTAAACGACGAAACAAAATTTTAAACCGTTTATTAGCCTGAATTATTTGATCGTCACTAATAATCGGTATGATTCGTTTTCATAAGGTTACGCGCTTAAAGGAATCAGTCTTTGAAATCAAGTCATATAACCACGAAATTGATAATTCGTCGTTTAGAATCGTGCTGAATAAGATGCAGCATATCTGTGTTTGTGAATCTGGAACATATAATACGACTTCTAGTCGAAAAACATACATGAATGGAACATGTCGAGGAAATATGATAAATTTTAAAAGTATATATACACAGACCAGAGGTTCTTATAGAATACTGAACCTCGTTGAGACTGAGAGAGAGAGAGAGAGAGAGAGAGAGAGACGTAACCTATTCCGTCCGTTTCTACTTCGTTCGCAAAACTTCTTAAAACTTCAGTTTCTTATTTCTATAATAATTGTTACACCATGTTCCTTCTATTAACGTAGAAGAAACGATATAGAATAGGTAAACCGTTCCTTCTTTTTTAGTTTCGTGCTGTGCACACGATAACACAGTACTACCCAGCGTACTAGACTGCGAGTATCTAGAGGGTGCCTCGAAGCAATGATCACTAATTATCGACCAACTTCTACCAATTTCGCGATTAATTTTGTACATGCTTTCTTCTCGTTTAAGCGATCTATCTACCTCCTCCTTCTTGCAATATTCGCTAAGTTACATTATATCGATAATTTCCTCTTTTCCCCAATATGATCTTGGATTACAATACGTTTCGTACTTTACCATAGATCGTAAATTACAATTATTTTTCATACGCTTTGGTGACTACATTGGCGAGGAAGGGGAGAAAGTGAGATATATTTTTCTTATACACACAGAACTATCGCGACTGATGAAAAATCATGTAGATGAATTTTGTATCGAGAAAAATCGGTAACGTGCAGACTTACGAATAAATGCTACAATCTTTTTGTCCTACCTTCCAGAAGGAAGGGCGGACGAGAATGTACGAGCGAATTTATCGCATCGATCTTTGAAAATTCCGCGAATGAAGCAGACGAATACGATTTTGTATTATTTGATCGCGGTGAGATGGCGCGTCGTGTCTCATCTAAGAAACGGAAACCGAGGTGTCATTCTGAACACGTCTCGTTGCTCCACGTTCCCGCGCAAATCCCGAGTAGAGTCGCGAATCGTTTTGAAATTCGAATTCGTCAAAGGAGAAGATTCTTAGCAACCGCGAAACTCTGTTTCCTACGTGTACGTTTCGGGATGTACGGGCTTATCTGTTGTTTTTCGTATCGTTCGAGAACACTTCGGCCAGAAATGGTGTTTCCATGGTTGATTTACAATCTAGTACGCCGGAAGAATATCTAGACCGCTGAATCCTTGCCGACGAAACCAGTTTTTGAGACGGATCTTTTGCCGTCAAACGTGATAGATGTCTCCCGGCGAAGACCCGAGTCGATGATCGGTGTGATTTTCTTCTCTTCCTTCAGTGGTTCCTTCTCGTCTCTAAAATGTTTCAATAGAAAAAGTGGGGTTATTAATGGAAGACTATTTATCAGCTGGTTGTTATACGGTTAATTTCTAGTACTGGGCATAAAAGAGAGCATGTCGAGATGCGGCGCGTGGTGCAACATCGAATAATACGCATAATGCATGCCATCACTCGTTAGTATTGTGTATTTGCAATTGAAGTATCGTATCTTCGTTCTTCGTCGCGTGTTATATGATATACGATGAAATAACAACGTACAACATCAAGAATAAATATAACTAAAGTTTGCACGATGGAGAACATTCACGAAAAAGGTAAGTGAATTGAAATGTCATTAAATTATTTGTACATTTCGTAGTACATAACAGTGTGCGATATTTACGACTGAAAAATATTCCTGTCTCCACGGTAACGTTTTCCACGAGGCAATGAAATTGAATTACCTACTTTCTCAAATCCACGGTTGAATAGAACAGGGTAAATTAGAGTGAATAGTGGTGAGTATGCTACGTAGTTAACGGGCAATTAATATCACTTCAGAGTGTTGATATCTCATGCAGCATAGCCAAAGCACGGGCGAATAATGGCGATAGTTTATGCAGCGCGCATAAAGAGTGACAGAGACAGAGAAAATAGGTAAGCGTTAAATGAACTGAACATGGTGAATAATGTACAGTGTTCTTTCGTTCGGAAAGTGGTTGGCGGCAAAATAAATTACATGTAAAAGAAGGATGAGACGAGGAAAGGAAACAGACAAGATCCTTTCATGCTGCAATTCTAGAAATTCAATTTCTTTTATCGACGGACCGTTAGTTTCGTTTCCATTGATGCCATTCTTGAATTACGTATTTGACGTTCCAAGATGTACACTAGCATCGTGGAGCCGAGGAATAAAAAAAAAAAAAAAAAGAAAATAA